TTGGAAAAAGGTGCGTGTGGACGGGGAAGAGGGAGTTCTTTCAGAAGAGGGAAGAGGAAAAAGCACAGGTACTCTGGTGGCCACTCTGTCCATAGTAATCACAGTTTAAATGTGAGATAGTATCCATTCAATGAGGATGCTATCTTTCCAAAAAGCTTTGGCAGTGTGGATGTGATCTTTTGGAAGAAGTTTTTTCAAAAGATCTCTTCTGGAAAAGCTTCTTCCAAAAGAAGCCTGCAATCTAGATGCAGCCTAACTGACCCTCTATACAAGCGGAGCTGAACAACTTTTTTACAGCTCTCTGGTGTAATTCCACAGTAGATAAATCCTATCAGCCAACATGGCGTATCCTGACCTGGAGGCTAGCTAAGGAGTAGATTTTTCTCCTCCAAAGATTCAGTGTTTTTGGTTCTTTATTCTCCATCTTATAATTCACGGATTGCTTGGATCCTTCTATTAGTGCAGTTACTACTAAGGATAAAGGCAAGTAAAAAACGTAAATTCAAACCCATTTGATGGAATTTCATGTCTCCAGTTCACATGCTTGGATGTGGCAGAGACTGAAGCTGGAATAGAAAGATCTAAAATTCCCTCCTAGATTAGCAATACCACTATACTCTGGGATGTAGGCTGTAAAATTGGAAATAGTTTATATGCCTTTTCTTGTGCCATCTCCAGAGAAACAGAGAAGGTTCCAGCCATCCTCTTAAGCAACTCCTGGAATGAGTTAAAGTCACCTATGGTAGCAGGGACATAAGGAGGCATCTGATGAAAATGATAAAAAAGGAGGTGCAGGTGGATCTTTCTGATAGCTCTGTATTATTTTCTTCATTAATTTGCTGCTGCTTTTCCTGAATGTTTCCCTTGCAGATGAGTGAGAGAGATGAGCTCACAGGCTCAGGTTCAGTTTTGTCTCTGGACCTTGGTGCAGGTAGTGGAAATTGTCCCTGAAAATAAAACAAATATGGAAAAATGGCCAGATCTGCAACCTCTACAGACATGATCCACCAGGCCAAGAAGGAGGCACCCAAGGAGCAAGGGGAGGCTGAGAAACATGACCTCTGTATGAAAAATAGCAAGACCAGTCCTTTGCTTTTCTATGTCCTTGGATTGGCCCACCGAGAATTGAGGCAGGCTGGGGGAAGGGTTTCTATTGCAAATAGGAGACAAAGAAGAGGACAAAAAGATTTCCCAGGGAGGAGATACCCTTGGGGAATATGACTCTCTCCTAAGCAATGTGTCAGTCATTAAGGGGAATTGCCTCTCCAACTGGAAGGACAAGTCTTGAAATGTGGAGATATGGGTTCAGCCTTGAGGTAGCCAAACTACTATGTTATAGCTACATACAATATTTTTTGCCAGCTGGTTCAAAATGAAATACTGTGAAACAAACTAATAACTGCAGTAACCACAAAAACTTTGTACCTTCAAACTAACTCATGGAAGAGAGAGGTTGTTCTGAGTCTGCCACCGTGTGCTCAAAGTCGCAGTTGGAGTCATTTTGCCCTTTCTGCTCTTAGGAAAGAAGGGTGAGAGGAGTCTACAGGGTGCACGTGTGACCCCTTCTTGACATTGCTGGTGAAATGCCCATTTGAGGTGTGTATGTCCCAGCCTGACAAAGCCCTGCCTGGGATGCTTTGGACAGGGAATTGGACTCGATGACTCCTGAGGTCCCTTCCAGTCCCAGGATTCTATGATTCTATGAAAACATTGCATAATCCTGTGTAAGCGGCAGTGGGATCCATAGACAGACACGGCTCCTATAAGGTGGGCACATAACTAGATAGATAACTACTCTCAGAGATAGTATCAGAGGGGTAGCCGTGTTAGTCTGAATCTGCAAAAGCGACGAGGAGTCCTGTGGCACCTTATAGACTAACTGAAGTGTAGGAGCATAAGCTTTCGTGGGCAAAGACCCACTTCGTCACAAGCATGTCTACTCTCAGAGAGTAGTTATTAACTGTCACACTGGAAGGGCATAACAAGTGGGCTTCCGCAGGGGACTGTTTTGGGACCGGTTCTGTTCAATATCTTCATCAACCATTTAGATATTGGCATAGAGCGTAGGCTTATTAAGTTTGCAGATGATATCAAGCTGGGTGGGGTTGCAACTGCTTTGGAGGATAGGGTCAAAATTCAAAATGATCTGGACAAACTAAAGAAATGGTCTGAGGTAAACAGGATGAAGTTTAATAAGGACAAGTGCAAAGTGCTCCACTTAGGAAGGAATAATCCATTTCACACATACAGAATGGGAAGTGACTATCTAGGAAAGAGTACTACAGAAAGGGATTTAGGAGTCATAGTGGTCAGCAAGTTAAACATGAGTCAACAGTGTGACACTGTTGCAAAAAAAGGAAACATGATTCTGGGATGCATTAACAGGAGTGTTGTGAGCAAGACACGAGACGTCATTCTTCCACTCTACTCTGCACTGATTAGGCCTCAATTGGAGTATTGTGTCCAGTTCTGGGCGCCACATTTCAAGAAAGATGTGGAGAAATTGAAGAAGGTCCAGAGAAGAGCAACAAGAATGATTAAAGGTCAAGAAACATAAAGCTATTAGGCAAGGCTGAAGGAATTGGGCTTGTTTAGTTTGGAAAGGACAAGACTGAGAAAGGACATGATAGTGGTTTTCAGGTATCTAAAAGGGTGTCACAGGGAGGAGGGAGAAAAATTATTCTCCTGGGCCTCTGAGGATAGGACAAGAAGCAATGGATTTAAACTGCAGCAAGGGAGGTTTAGGTTAGACATCAGGAAAAACTTCCTGCCAGTCAGAGTGGTTAAACACTGGAATAAATTGTCTAAGGAGGTTGTAGAATCTCCATCACTGGAGATATTTAAGAACAGGTTAGACAGACACCTGTCAGGGATGATCTAGATGGTGCTTGGTCCTGCTGTGAGGGCAGGGGACTGGACTCAATGACCTCTCAAGGTTCCTTCCAGTTCTAGTGTTCTAGGATTCTATGATAAAAAGAAAGTGGGATTTTTCTCGGCTAAAGAAAGAACAGGGGCAGACCTCAGCAATCTCAGGGTTTGTAAATCTTTACGTGACCCAGCTGAGCTTTTGGGGAAAACCAGGATATTTTACATGCTGATCCCAATACCTGTATAACTTTGGCTACCACCAATAGATTTCTGATCTCACCGGAAACTGAGTAAACAAAGTCAGCTTTTAACCCAGGGACTGAAAAGCTGCTCCCTTTTAGAATCCCAAACTTTTGTTTATTGACAAGGCTCTGAAGTGTTTGGAAAATAACTCCTCTGCTCCAATTCTGAAGAATCCAGGTTATGCATACTACATATATACGCATTCAACAAACACTGAGAAATTCTCTCAGGAAGAAGGCCAGAGCCGATATGGTTCTGTGTGTGCGCTGAAGTATACTAGTTATGTTGGAATATTTTAATAGCAGCTAAGTGGTAAAACTCTGTCTAAGGAAGATCTGCTAAATGAGGCCAACAGAGTGGGCTGTAAGTGCCTGGCACTTAGCTTTTATGTCATTTTGGTGCTGAATATAACGGCCCCTCCAGTTTGTGTGTTTGTTCAAGCCATAAGAGATAGTGTCAGATTTGCACATGAAGGCCAGTTCCGCAGGCTCGTTCTCCAGCTGATTCCTGAAATGACTTTCTAAAAGGACAGCCACCTTTACATCCATTAGTGGACACAAATCAGATGTCTGACATGGTAACACACAGAAACCTGCTAGGGAGCATTGAAGCTTCCCCGGGCATTCACCAATGGATGTAAAGATGGCTGTCCTCTTACAAAGTCATTCCAGGAATCAGCTGGAGAATGAGCCTGCGGAACTGGCCTTCATGTGCAAGTTTGACACTCTCTCTTATGGCTTGAACAAACACACAAACTGGAGGGGCTGGGATATTCAACACCCAAATGACATCACAAGCTAAGCGCTGGGCACTTCCAGCCCACTCTGTTAGCCTCACTTAGCACGGACATTTCAATTGAACATTTCCCCCTTTCCCTCACCCCTCTTCTCTGCTTTATATTTGAACCTCTGTGCCTCTTGCTCCATATCTGTCAGCTGAAGAATTGATTTGTGCCCACAACAGCGCATGATACTATCTACGTATTTAAGGTGCTACAGGACCATTGTTGTTTTGTAAGGTTTTTTAGTTACAGACTAACTCAGCTGCCCTTCTGAGACTAAGGAAGGCTGGTGATTTACCACCTAATAGCTTCTATGTAAAAGCTATTAAGCATTCCAAATACTGCTTACAATGTTCCTCTGTGCATAAAATTTTTTCTAAGAAGTTTTGTTGTCCTTTCTTGCTGAAGGTGGCAGGGGATTGTTATTAAAACTTATGTTCAGGATTATGTATGTAACAGCCTGTCAGAGTTAACTGTATAATGCTTTCTGAAAAGTCTTGAAGTGACAGAATTCTGACCTGTGCAGCAGCAGAGTTAAAACAAGTGCCAGAAAGGGGGGTGTTCTGAAGATGTACATAATATTTACATCCAGCACTTATTACACAAAGGGCACGCAAACAGGGTCTGCCACTTGTTACCTAAGCATCCCACTTTGCTACTCCAGTCTCTGCAATGAATACACATTGCATACAACCTAGAATTCAAGGTCTTTGTCCTGATATTCCCAGTTCTCTGTGGGATAGTCCCTAGCTACCTGACAAACTCCCTCTTCCACTGTGACTTTGGCTTTCCACAACAGCTGCATTCCACCGCAATGAAGCGGTTGATCAAAGGGCAGAGAAGTTTGATATGAGCAGAACCAACATTGTGGCACCCATTGCCATCAAAGACAAACAATGACCAGGAGGATCAGCACATTGAGTATTAAATGTAAAGCTCATGTCTATGTCACAAATTTCCCACTGTAACTTCTTCTTTCACACAAGCAAACAAACAACCCACCCCCAAACTGTTATGGTCTGATCATGTTCTCACTCCCACCAGCAAAGAAACTCAGATACAACAGTGATGCAGGCCAAACAAATCAGAGAAAAAGACAAGTCAATACCTCCAGGTAGGGCACAGGAGTGTCTGGATTCAGAGGATATTCCCTCAGAAGTCGCTCCTCATCCAGGAACTTTCCAGCCCTGCCATTGAAGGCTGGCTGGAAGAGCCCATAGTTCAGAACATCCTTCAGGCTGTGGTTCAAGGTGCAAAGAATGCGCTGTTTGGAGACCCAGATAGGAACATCAGGATTTAGTCGCAGACATTTCTATGGAGAGAAAGAGATTGTGATTGTGATTAGAGGATGGGAATCCAGCATTTCTGTAATTTCATAACCACAGCGGTGAGACTGTGGAACAAGCTTAGAACAGGATATCTACAATCTTTTCCATGTCAGTGGCCAAGTGGCAACAGATGTTCTGATCTTCTGACATGAGAGAGAATCAGATCCATTAAGTTCCATCTCACCTGTCTCCTGTGGTGCCAGAGCAGGATCATTCCCTACAGTCTAATCTACATGATTTTATCCTGTTTGGAAATACAGGTCTTGAGTAATGGGATGTCTAGGAGAGCTTTCAATGGCCCAATACCATACAATTCACTGCAGGATGTTTTCTCCATTATTCAGCTTATATATGCCTATGGAAGGGTGAAGAGGCTCTACTGGATATCCAGAAGTTGGAAGAGCTCACACATATAAACAGAGACAAATTATTTTGCAAGGCTGGGGCCTGAAAGCTCAATTAGGGCCAATGAAGGAACCCAGGAAGGTCTTTAACTATTGGGAAGAGAAGCCTTGCAAAGGAGGCAGAGCTCAACATAAAATGTCTAGACACCATCTCTGACTGCTTCTTGGAACAGCTAGTCCTGGAACCACAATGGAAGAGTCAATTCTTTGTTTAGTCTTACATTGGGCACAGAATCTAGCCCAAGAGGTGAATACAGCTGAACTGCTCAGTAACAGTGACCATAACATAACTACACTGAACATCCTTGGAGGGAAGAAAATACCAAAGAAATCCACCACTGCAGCATTTAACAAAGTGGAACTACACAAAAATTGAAAGGCTTGTTCAATGGAAATTAAAAGGAATAGTCACAAAATTGAAATGCAAACTACGAGATGATTTAAAAACATAAGCCTCAAACTGAGCCTTCTGTCCTTCCACCCTGGCTTCCCTTGCACTAATTATTTACACCACAAAAACTCATCATGTAGCTGTGACACAGAAAATACACTGTGAAGACAAAAATGCATGGGGAGCTGAGAGTTAGGCCACTGGCAGCAAGAAGGAACTGAGAGAGGGAGGGGCATGAGTAAGGATGTTAAAATGCAGTTAATTGACTAGTCATCTAGTCGACAGGCACTTCCGCATTCCTCCTTTGACATGTACAAGAGCCCCCACTGGGCCCACTGGGGCTCTTGTATATTTCAAAGGAGGAATGCAGAACTCCGGTACAGCCCGGGGCCAGCAGGAGGTCCCACTGACTCTGGGCTGCCTTCTTTGAAATGCAGAAGAGTCCCCTGGGGGAGCTTTTGTACATTTCAAGGGAGGAATATGGAAGTGCCTATCAACTAGTCGACTAGTCAAAAAAATATCCGATAAGCAAATGCTTATCAAATAGTCGACTAGTCAACTAGTCTTTAACATCCTTAGGCACAACTGCTCTTAGTTACATCCTTTGAAGAGGCCACAAGGAGGCGTAGGATGTGTGTACGACCCCAGAGGATACTGCTGCAGGAGGAAAGTCCTGAGCTCTCAGTGGCACAAACACCCAGGTGAAACACATGTCTATAACCACCTAAAGAAGAAGCTCCATTTTAATTTTTCTCTGAAGCTACCACACCATTTCCAGTAGGTTGCTCTGGACTGCTGTAGAATCAAAAGAGCCTGCTAAAAAATGTAAGTCAAGCTAGCAACAGAATAGGAAGGGGATAAGTCATGATTAGGGATCCTACTTTTCTGTGATAAAACCCAAATTCTCCAATTAAAAAAAAAAAATCTGTGCTTTTTCACAATTAAAATGAAACACTCAATTTTACTTTCTCTAGCCACAATACATATCAATTGAACACAGTATTTTATTGGTGTATAGCAGAACTAACCATCTGAGTATCTTTTATCTGGCTTAACCAGGAGATCTTGAGTGATCTAAAAATCAAAAAGGAGTTCTACAAAAAAGGTGAAACTAGGTCAAATTACAAAGGATGAATATACACATATAACACAAACATATAAGAGCAAACTTAGAAAGGCAAAGACACAAAATGAGCTCAGTTTAACTAGAAAAATAAAGAGTAACAAGAAAGCATTCTACAAATATATTAAAAGCAAGAGGAAGACCCCAAGAACAAGGTTGGCCAATTACTCAATGGAGAAGGAAAACCAAGAACAAAAAATGTGAAAATGGCAGAGGTGCTTAACGACTTTTTTGTTTCAGATTTTATCAAGAAGATTGGGAGTGATTGGCCCCTAACATAGTGAATGCCAGCAAAAATGGGGTAGGTTCGGATGCTAAAAT